TGCTAGGTTTCTGCACGCGCCACCACTTATTCACGCGCCTCCTTTTTAGGTCTTGGTTCTAATTGCTGATATTTAATAAATCTGTTTGTGTATAGGCCAAAGTTTTCCACTATGGATCCATAAGTTTGATTGTGGAGCCATGCAGATCAGCACACTTGAAGGCAATGGAAGTGGCAAAGGATGCAGGTGCTCTGCTTTCCTATGACCCAAATCTAAGGCTGCCATTGTGGCCATCAGCTGAGTATGCTCGTGAACAGATATTGAGCATTTGGGACAAGGCAGAGGTGATCAAAGTCAGTGACGTTGAGCTTGAGTTCCTCACCGGAAGTGACAAAATTGATGATGCTGATGCCTTGTCACTTTGGCATCCTAACTTGAAGCTGCTCTTGGTCACACTCGGTGAGAAGGGCTGCAGATACTACACCAAGGTACTATTTTTATTTTAATCTAATCTCATTTTTGCTTTTAATTGTTAATTTTTGTTAGGTGTGTTTGCCATTTTAATGAATAATCCTAGTTAAACATATTTGACTTGTAGCTGTAGTGGGTAGGTGGTGAATTTTATGGTTATTTATATTTAAGCCTGCCTGCTTTGCTATATGTGGGACCTCAATATTTGAGAATTCCTATCCTATTTTAATAGAGGAAAAGAACTAATTTATTGCAAGTTGTATTATTTGTCCCCTATTTGTTTTATTGAACAAGATTTGTTTTTATGAAATACCACTATTAAAGGTCTTCTCTTGACCGTTAATCTAAACCCATGGGACGCAATTGTGTGGATTTTAGAATATAGTTTTGAAAATTTGACCAAGATTGCACTTGCATTGAAAAGTATTATATTTTTTTTTTTTGACATTATTGAAAAGTATTATATTAATTCCGTTTCCTATCTGTGATACATTTTTTAAACGTTTAGTTTAAATATTTTATTTGTTTTTATTCTTTCTATCGTATAAAACATTTTTGAAAAATAATTTGCCTGAAATGCAGGTCAGACATTATTATTTGTGGGGCTTGCTATGGAACATAAAATATTATTTAATGACAATTTGAGTCAGAACACTCAACTACTGCCTCGTATTTATTATTTGTATATTTTGCACATGGTGGTGGGTGGATCTGCGATCCAAATTGGAATTTGAAAGAAGACCATATTGCATTGATTTTCCCCTGTTCACAAAACACACGGCAGTAGCAATTATAAGCTGCAAACAAGTATGGTCTCAGTAGACTGTCACTATTAGATGACTTGTATTCTACTGAGGGCTTATTGCTTATAATGAATGGCAATGAGGATTTAGGTGGAGCTCTGTTCATCTGTAGTTTGATAATGCCGGTATGTGGAAATACTGTCTAAATGGACTGCTGATTAATGCTTCAATTATGGATGGATTTTGACGCGCTAACTACATTTTTTCTTTTTTTAGATTATGAATTTCATTTTTCTTCTTTGATTGATAATTAAAATGGTGGGCCGTAGCAGACTAATTCCACTATATGCTACTGTAAACTACATAACCTTGATTTGGGTTGCTGAAAATACAGGATTTCCATGGATCAGTGGAGGCTTTTCATGTCAAGACAATAGACACAACAGGTGCTGGTGATGCTTTTGTAGGAGCTCTATTAACCAAGATTGTGGATGATAGGTCTATTCTAGAGGTGAGCAGTGGGTTCACTATTTTCTCACTTTCACTTGGCTGTGTCTCTATTGGTGGACCATTATTAACGAACTGAGTCGCTAAATAATAATTACTTATAATACAGGATGAACCAAGGTTGAGAGAGGTACTAAGATTTTCAAATGCATGTGGAGCCATTACAACAACCAAGAAAGGAGCTATCCCTGCCCTTCCTACTCCGTCTGAACTCCTCAACCTAATCAAGGAGTCTGAGTCAAAATAGAGATTTGAGATTAAATTTATGCTCTTTTACGCTCTGTCCTCTGAAATTTTCCTCAATTTTAGTGTTTGCCTTTCAAGTAGATGTTCATTTAACCTAAGAAGAGGTTTTCAATCTCAAATGTTCTTGTTTCTATCTCGTAAATGTAATGATATAATACTTTTGTTTAAGGTCTTGCCCAATAAAAATTTTGATGTTTGGCTTGCACACAGTGACCATAATTTTGTGGGTAACAATGGTAGCAATGAGCATTCAGCAGTTACTCTCTTGAAAATATTGTTTGGGCAGAGGCGCATAGCTCTAACCCAACCAACTTGTATGCTATCACTTATTGTCCTGTTTACAACTTTACAACTCGTTTGTATTAAACTTATGCATGCAACCACATCAGAAGCCGCAGCAGCCCAGCAACAACAGACTGAAAATGAAGACACAATAACAATCAAATTCTTTTTCTATTACATTTAAGTCCCAACACAGCAATAAATAAAACGAAAAACGCAGAAATGGATGGCCCCTTGTAAAACTTGAAAATGTTTCCATGCAATAAATACACATATTTACAGTAAAGCCATGACAATATACTAATAAATGAAACATTCTTAAGGTGTTATCATTGTAAGCAATCATAGATGACATGCTTACTCAAGCTTCTTCCCTAAAATAAAACAAGTTTGATCCCCGAAAATAATAATTATTGTGAAAGAAATAACAATATTTCTCTTTGTAAATAGATAGAAACTAGAAAGGCCTCCATTTACAACACAATTGCTTGTGGATAGCATTCAACAACTTCCATTTGCAAAGGCCTCCAAATTTGTTTGCTTTTTTCCCACCTTGACTGCATTTCAGCTAGAAATGCCTCAGCCCACGGTTCCTTGCTTCCTCCCATGCTCAGTTCATAAGGCACAGAGAAACTGTAGTCCATGTTTGAGACAAACATGCATAATCCATCATGGAATGTAATTCCAGTAGAAAAGCAACAATATGAGGGAAAAAATGGATAATAATTTTATATGTATACTAAGATAACCCTACTTTTCTTAAATAATGTTTTCACCAATACTAGAATGACACTGACATATAAGCAATATTTTACCTCATCAATTCTTCTGGCTGTGATCCTTTATTGGGTGAAATATTCCTGCAGGAATCCACAAATTGACAATGTAAATTTTAGTTCTAGCCTCAACTATTAGCATCTACTATTTTGTTCCATACAACCAATTTTCTTCAAAGATAATCTTGAACATTTAAATTTTCTTAGACAAGACCAGCAGACTCTGCCATTTGGTTGCATTGGCTTTTAAATGATCAATAATTTAATAATAGCCTAATGAATGGGAGGCATTTTAGTTTGTGTAATATTATGGTCATTTTTTGACAGAAGGGCTAGTTTTTCAATAGAAACAAATGCGAGGGACAATTTAATTCATTTTTTACAACCATTACAAATCATCATGTGAATTCTGCATGAAAACGAACCTGCAGATTAAAATTCTGAAAATGCGAAGATACTTGGTGGAAAGATTATAAATGGCATCTGCAATGTGCTCCTTGCTGAACAAGTACACGACCGGATAACCAAGAAGCCATCTGAAGTACATTAAATTTATACTGTAAGAAGATAGCACTCAGAAAATATGGTGCTAATTTATTAATGATCCATAATAAATCAGCTACCCAATCACAATTGATACAACTACAAGCATGTGGTACATAAACTCAGACAGGCACTCATGAACAATTGAAAAATAGAGATAAAAGGTATCAAGTAGAAATGAGAGAAGATGGAACCATTTCTTAAAATAAGAAGTTACCCATTTAAAGTTGGCACAGTGACTTCAGTGTCCTTCATGCAGCTACTGAGATCAATGAATTCAGAGGATTGACAAGTTATAGGCTTATTGACAGAGGATTCAGCATTATCCATACTATTCATTGTGTGACAAGACAAAGGATCATCATTTATTTCACTGAGAGGGAAAAACAAAGAGAACAACTTCTGCACTCTTATAAGTTCTGCTGCCAATGAGCTATTTTCAGCTTGTGTTACCATCTGGATCAAAAATGAAAATGTCTTAATGTAGAGAATGTAAAAAATGAACATTCAAGGTAGTTGGTAAAATTGCAGTAACTAAAAGATTAAGTGGAAGCAACCTTCGGAGGATCATGCTCTAAGTTCACAAAGAGCAGTTTAACTTCCGCGTTCAGACTCGAGTGGACGTACTCAGCAAGTGCTCTTACATGTATCAAATATATCATATCTTCGATAACCATCACTCTTAGACGCTCAAATATGGCCAACTCCTACAAAAGTTACACATTCAACAAATGCTAATTAGAGAAAGGGGCAAAATTCTATAAGCAACATTTATGAAGGTGTTTTCTAAATAAAACTGTTCAACTCTTGTGGAGTACTATACAATATAAGACTATGTTAATTAGTTAAGAAGGTTTAATAGTGTACCTTCTTTTCTAAATTATTACACTTCCCAAAATCATTGCTTAGCCAAAAACTAGCACAAATTTACTTTGATCATTCTATTGCGTTAGTGTGCTATGTTTTCAAACATAAAACGAGGCTAGCAATTGATTTTATGTCATAATCATTGCAAGAATTAAAATTTGAAGGCCAATGAAATCAATTTGAGTTAAATAGTTTCAAGAACTAATTAAGGGCAAATCTAAACTGTGTAAAGCTGCTACTTTTCTTTTCTTTAATAAGGAAAGCAAAGAGAGATAGAATCATCCCAGTGGAGAAGCAAGTCCATTTTGTTAAAGCATAGGCAAGGGTTAATGTATAAATCTGATAAAGAACTCCTCACAACAGGTTCTTTTTTCTTTCTTTTTTTTTATTTTTTATTTTTATTTTTGATAAATAAAAAGAAGGGGGGGGGGGGTGGCAAGGGTTAATGTAATAAATCTGATAAAGAAGCTCCTCACAACAGGTTCTTTTTTCTTTCTTTTTTTTTTTTTTTAATTTTATTTTTGATAAATAAAAGAAGGGGGGGGGGGGGGGTGGTTGGGTAATGGAATAAGATCCGCAAGTATGGAGGGGGGGGGGGGGGGGTGTTGGAGTAATGGAATAAGATCCGCAAGTATGGAGGTGCTTGGTGTCATTTCTGTTTTGGTTTTTGTTTTCTGTTTTCCTATACTAAATGCTTATACCTTTGGAAAATGTGTTGATGAAAATGAAACCAAGAAAAAGCACTGTTATGGTTTTCTGTTATCGTAAAAACATTTTTTTCCCATTTTAAGCACCAAAGTAAGGAAATAAATAAATTTCAATAATAGATCTTTCTTTCATGTTTGAGAAACGCAGCCATATAAGAAAAGGGTATGTCTTTGGTCCCCATTTATTCACATAAAAAGGAAACCTCTTTGAATTTACGTACACAAGTCACAGGAGGGCTAGAACAACGAGTCACTGGTTCCAGAACAGAATCAGAATTGTTACAGATACTAGACACAATTTAAAGAGGTTTTCTTCTTTTATTTTATTTTTTCCTGTATCTTCATAAAGAAGGAAACGGTAATAATTCCTATTACCTTGGTAAGTGGGAGGTAGCAAGAGTCCAACGTGTTCATTTAATCTCTAAATCTACAGGCATAAGGGCATGACCACATACATTGAGTTAACAAAATTTGCAATATATAAAATGATAAGAAAGGAATGATTAAATACCATAGCAGTATAAGATAGTTTCGTCATGGAAGTTGGTGTAGAGAAGCCACAAACAGCAAAATTTCAACATTAGCAAGAATTTCAGCATATTAAATTACAAGTTCATATACAGAAAAGAGCCAGAGTGAAGTTCTGAAAGTAAACAAGATCAGGTAACATCTTTGAAGTGTAAATATGGTTAGATGGTTACATATTCTTGCACAATAAAGAAAGTTGAAGAGTATATCCTAGAAAGCTTTCAAAGAGATGTTTTCTGAATGAAGGAAAACCTTTGTGCTTATAAAGGTGCAGATCAAAGGAGCTGCACTAGAGAGTGGGAAACATAACACACCTACACTGCTACTGCGACAGTGATTTAAATTCTCGACACATGATCAATAGAATTCAGAAACTGGATATTAAGATGTAATATGTAATTTTCAACAGGATCATGTCCTCAAAATGGCAAATCAGTTTTTTTTGTTGTAATTGTTATATGAATCATTATTTTGTACTGGCTCAAACTGCAAATCTCTAATTTCACAAGGGGGTAATAATTCTGCGTGGCATTATTTTTGGAGAAAAATTGTGGATAATCTTATCTGACGAAGACTATTAATTTTGATTATTCTGGTATACTATTTCTTTTATGCTAAATCTAAGCGCTATTCTTTAGTGCAATAATAAGACTTCTGCAGTGGTTACCAAGTCAAGCACACTGACTTGAGCATCGAGAGCAGCCAACATGTGCAAAAAAATAAAAATGAAAGATTCTTGTAGGTAGTTCCTCCTGCTACCACCATTCGAAAGATTAATACTAACTAATGCCTAAACTTTTTGCTAAGTTGTTTTTTGCTATTGGTGCATCTCCTTCTGATCCTCAATCTGAAGGTATATACCTCAGGCAGGTTAATGCTTCATATGATTCTGTCATTTGATAAGTTTGTTGCCAAGAGGAAGAATCCTTTATAAAGAGCATACCTCGCATGCTAAACTGCCAATCAAATTTCATAGGGAAAACGTATGAAAAACATTCTGCCATAGTTAGTACATGCATAGGAGTCCCAATATCCACACTAAGACCACCAGAATATGAAAAATACAAAAATGATATAGTGACTGTTTTGGAAAATGACAATAAGCAAATCCTCCAACTATTTGGTTCTGAACATGTAATCTATTATTTCCTTTCACTTTCTTTGGGAGTTTCAAGGGATTGGCCACCATATGGAGTTCCATTTGTTGCTTGTCATAATGTAGGATTCTAATCTTATGACTATGATAGTCTTTTCAAAATTCTTTCTTTTGTTTTCCCCTATTGGCTAATTGTCATTTCTTATACCTCCTTAAGTGAAGGACGTGAGAAAAATAACACGCCATGCTGTTAAATCTAAGTCAGCAGATATCAAAATCATATTCTGCTCAATATAATTCCAAAGAATTGGTCAATCAAATCACCATAAGCAGAAATAGTTACATGTAAATGCTGTAATAAATCTGATTATAGACAGCAGTAAAACCCATCAAACTCAAATATACTACCGCTATAAACTAAAAAACAACGACATTCATGGATACTAAGATTGACTTGCTCCACTAACATAGTGAATCAGTATGGAGTCACACCTGTTGACAACATTTAAGAAGTGCACACAGATGCTCCTGCAGTTCGGGCATCTTACCACCATAATCAACCATTATAGCTGGCCTCATCTCTGTGCACAATGCTAGAAAATCTGCCAAAAGGAATTACAATCAGTTAGTTTCATGAGTATAAAGAGCTTCATAAGTAATCACATTGTAATATAGAAACCAGAACCTCTATAACTTTACTAATAACAACTTGAACTTTCATAATTGAGCCAGGCAATTAACGTTTCATATCACCATCGGCTTATTAAACCAGTGGCATAGCATATCACATGAATGTCACATTACCTATTGAAAAAACAAAGACGAAAACTTTACTAAATCATAAATAAAACACGAAAATGAAAACTAGCAATTGAAGTAAAATAAAAATAAAAATGGAAAATTCAAAAAGAAAAAAAAAAAAAAAAAAGAGAGAGGAGAAGAAGAAGAAGAAACTTAGAATCTTATTACTTCCATTACTGGGATGGGAGCAGCTCTTGACAAGCCTGACAGGCAATCAAGACTGAAACTTATTTCACATAAACTCCAACTTACTTGCTGGACCCAATTCCAGTTCATTAAAAATTGTTATTTTTTCTCCCTCTTCATTTCCATAACTTGTCCTCCAAATTCTTGTTGACCAATATCTAATCATCCCCATACCAAATAGTAATAAAACCCACAAATGAAATCATACGTCGAATTTGAAAGAGACCCCGAAACCCATATCATAAAGAAGGCAAAAAACTTTGCAAAAAGAAAACCAAAAAGGAAGAAGTAATCAAAACAATTGAAGAAAATAGATTATGGAGACAGATAAATAAAATAAAAAAAACCTATTTGGATTCGACGCTTGGCTAGAGACCTGAGACGCCATTTGATTTGTGAGATAGAAGAATCCAACACTCTGAATAATTCCTCTACTTCGACACCATCCATTATGTCTCAGTTGACAGAGGAGGCACAGTCCTCCTGTTATCATTTCTAGTTTCTTAGTTCCTGTAATTCATATAAGAGAGTACACATGGCAGGCACGTGATTGGTTCAATGATGCAATATTATATGCATGTGCGAATCACGTGCCAAAAAAAAAAAAAAAAAATCACATGGCAGGCACGTGATGGGTTTCAATGATGCAATATTATATGCATTGCGAATCCACGTGCCAAAAAAAAAAAAAAAAAAAATACTACATAAAAAAAAAAAAAAAAAATACTACATATAGTTACATTTCTCTCAACTTTCCTATTCAGCCTTTTCTTCTTAGCGTTTTCTCACAGATTCGTTTCATTTCTTTTGTTAATAATACGTTTCTTCGATTACCAGTTGTTACTCTGCCCTGTTAAATACTCGTCGATTGAAGCTCGCTGGAACTCAGATCTCCTACTCGGATATCCGCCGGCACTCACTCACTTCCTCGATCCCAGGTTCTACTTTCAGATCCATTTCTCTCTTTCTATACTGTATTTGTATTTATACATATATCTGATTGATATCAACATATAACCTAGACGAATTGGGTTTGCCAGTAGGTTTGTATTTAATGTTTTTCCATCTCGATTAATTTGTTTAAAAAAATGATAAGGGATTAGTATTAATTTGAAACGAACACGAGTTCTTTCAGAAATTTAAGCTTGCACCTGCTTCGTAAAGTTTAGATTAACATTGGTACCTTAAAATATTAAGTTTGCACAAGCTTTATAGAGTTAAAATAGCATGGGCTATTTAAAGAAAAAAGTTTGATACTAGCTATGAATCTACAATTTTGTTCTTGAGGTAGTTGGTCGGTTGTGTAATGGAATATGGCCTATTTGTTTGGATAAAAAAGATTTTCCCAATGTGGGTTGTGACTTAAAATGTGTAATCTCTAGTGGATTCGATTGGCGATAGAGGTTTTTCGAAGTTGGATAGCATACTTTTAGTTGAATGAAACAAAAAAATGATTATGCTCAGAACTGTTGCTGAGGACTTGGTGGTAGAAGTAGGTGCCAACATTTACTTTTTTAAGTTGCAATCAGAAAACTCCAAGCTTACTGGAATGCTTGTTCATCTTTGTGGTTTTTTTAATGAGAGAAGAGAATTAATTGGATGCTTGTGGCCACATGAGGTTGTTATGGAAAATTTGGGGGTTTTAAATGTTGAGGAGCAGTGAAATTGTTTGAGGATTGAAACTTAAAATTAAGGGAAACTGCTTTGCATACATGGAGTAGATGGGGTATTACTTATTTTAACCTTGTAGTTTTTTATTTGCCAGAGATAAACAATCTTATGGGCTTGAAGGCGAGGACTTAGTATTCAGATATCAACTGTATTGAAGATAAACATGAAGACTGCTTTTCTTTCTTTTATTTTATTATTTTTTATTTCAGGGAAAAGAGAGTGTATAAACTTGTTCCGCCACAAGTTTATGTTTTCATCTGAAAATGCATAAGTTATTCCATTTTGTTCAACATGGCTAAGTAGGGTTATTCTCTTTTCTGTTTGAATCTTTTTTTCTATTTTTAATTTGTATGATCAGCCATGAATTTAATTGGACTTCTGAGAAATTTAGATGTTAATTTTGCATTATTTATGTTCTCAATTGATGAACTGAGATACTTGTTGCTAATTGGTAATTCTTGTAGAGGTGAACTTGTTCTAATTTGTTCCTCCACTTTCTTCACCTATCACAGAAATGTATAACAATGTGGGACCACAGCCTGGGGTGCCTAGGCCTCCAACAAATCCTCAGCCTAATCCATTTGGGAATGCATTCTATGGAGCTGGTTCAGGGCTTATTAAAGGTGGACTTGGCGCATATGGAGAGAAAATTCTTGGATCAAGTTCTGAATATGTGCAAAGCAATGTAAGTAGCTTGTTAAGGCTACATTTTAAACCACAATTGTGTTTGAGTTTTACATTAGCTGCCAAAAAAATTTCGAAAGAAGTTCCTTTGAAGAATGTAAAATTAGGTGATTCTACGTGCTTGTGAAGAATAACTAAAGGTACTAATTTCCACCTAAAACCTTTTGAAGTAATCTGTTATAATTATGAGGTTTGACAGGCATTAAAGTTTATGCCATTTTATCGGTGGTTGACATGATGAAATAGCACTAAAGTTTTCCTGTTTTATGGATATGCAATTGCTTCTTTTTAGCACTGAAGTACAATTTGAAGGTATATAACTTTCACATTTCTTGCAAAATGAACAGATAAGTAGGTATTTCTCTGATCCCCAATATTACTTCCAAGTGAATGATCAATACGTGAGAAACAAATTGAAGGTTGTTATGTTTCCATTCCTACACAGGGTAAGCCTTACTTCTACAATTTCTTATGATTGTCACAGACAGACAACATTTCTTGTTGAAGTGAGCATTTGTTCTTATATTCCTTTATTTTCCTTCAGGGGCACTGGACACGGATAACTGAGCCAGTGGGGGGCAGACTTTCTTACAAACCCCCGATTTATGATATAAATGCACCAGATTTGTACATTCCCTTCATGGCATTTGGTACATATGTTGTCCTTGCTGGCTTCTCATTGGGACTTAGTGGAAAGTAAGTGGCAAATATCCTCTAACCTTCTCATCTATATCTTAACATATACTGCATGAAGTACAATGCTTGTCATTCCTCTTTTTGATATATGTGTGAGCACCTTCTCTTCATATCTCTTTGATCTTATCCCTTCATAATTTTGTGTTGAGTTTGCTAGTTTGCAAGCTTAATCGACCATAGAGCCTTGGCAATATTTGGATTGCATTTCAATATTATTGGTTTTGCTCCATTAGCTGTTCTTTCTTTGGTGGTGTTTTGAAAGAGCAATATAATTACTTTATTAAGCCATAGTGTCATATAGGTAGTGGCAGGACATGGTGGCAACTGTGGTAGGTTTGACAGTGCTATCACTTCCATTACGACTACTCAACCTCCTCCGTCACTTTTCTGCCCTATATATATATATTGACAAGTGGCTATCACTTCCATTACGCTACTCAACCTCCTCCGTCCTTTTTTCTGCCTATATATATATATATATATATATATTATATATATAATTATTTGCTTCTCTGTATATATTATTTGCTTCTGTGTATTTATGCAAATTTGTCCGTTAATTTCTCTCTATTATATGTATATGTATTTATCTCGATTAAAGCAACAAAATGCTTCCAAAATAGAATTAAGTTCTACCTGAAGTATTTCTCGTTTTAGTTCTATTTAATGCTTCATCATGGCATAAAAGAAGTCAGTAGAATTGTAAATTTGATGCAGTAATAGCTATTTGGTATATGATTCTGAAGTGCTTCTTACAGTATGCCACGGATTTATTTGCCTTGTCAATAATGAATATATTCCATTGTTCTTGTTTTGCAATCTTTTTCCCGATCTATTGTGTTTGGCACTTTATATCATTAATCTTCATGTTCAATATTTTATGTAATACGCAGGTTCAGCCCAGAAGCCCTCAATTGGCTGTTTGTGAAGGGATTACTTGGCTGGTTTCTGCAAGTTGCATTGCTCAAAGTAACACTTCTTTCATTGGGCAGTGGAGAAGCACCCTTGTTAGACATTGTAGCATATGCTGGGTATACTTTCACGGGAATGTGTTTTGCTGTCCTCGGAAAGATCTTATTCAAATACTCTTACTACTTTTTGATGCCATGGACCTGCTTATGCATGGGAATTTTCTTGGTGAAGACAATGAAGAGGGTCCTTTTTGCAGAGGTGAGGAGTTATGATTCAAGTAGGCATCATTATCTCTTGCTATTCATTGCCTTGGCTCAGTTCCCACTTTTCATATGGCTTGGCAACATTACCATTAATTGGCTTTTCTAAACTCTTACCTAGTGTTATTGTAAGAAACAGTATAATGTTTGTAGATCTTTTGAAACTTCATAGAAAATTTCTGCGTTTTCGTTAATTTTTTACAGGCTATTATTTTTGCATTTTGAGTCATGTTAGTCCACTTCCCTGTTAATCCACATTGAGATTTGAAGGGTTTTATGGTGCTTCATGTGTTTTCTTAAGAATGTTTCAGTTGCAACTATTTTAGATTGTCATGTTAATAGATGGGGCAACCATTTTGTATTGCCTTATTTGTTGGTAATAGAAAATTAATTGTTTGGAAAATATTTTTCGAGAAAACAATGTTTTTCTCTGAAAATATTTTATAAGGATAACTTATTTTCTGGAAATAAACAAAGCCAAGATTTACCATGAATGATCTGGGATTGATGTATGAATTATTATTCACTACACATCAATTCTCTCTTAGAAACCCATGGAGTGAAACATCTTATACTTACAAGTACAAAAGATGGCAAAGCAAAAGTAAACCTGAAAACCCTAATTCCAAGCCTTCTTTCTGAGATTTCTCTACGGACATTCAAAGCAACTCCAATGGCCACCTCATTGATCTCCTTCACTCTCTTCTTAAGCTTCTCCTTGATTCCATTTTTTTCCTGGAAATGGTAACTGCTAAGAAATGCTCGTCTCGCCTGCCAATAATTGCGACTATGGCCATAACCATTTCCATAATTATCTTCCCAGTGACCTTCTGAAAGTTGATGAAAAGGTCTGCTTGGACTCATTTCAGGCCAATTGTAGACTATGGATGGACAAATTTGAGTAGATTTCATGGCCAAAATGTGGTTAACTGGGAAAAAAAAAGTTATATCAGGGTATGTATCAAGAGCTGTCTTGGTTTATATATAATCTTGGGTTAAAATTTTATTATTGAGATTAGATTAGCGGTTAAACCAATTTGAATTTTTTATTATGAAGTGTTTGTGTGTTTATGTTCAAAGGTTGGTGGCTATGGTTGCACCCAAATTTTAAAATTAATATTTCTTGTTTTACTTAAATTTCTCAAATGAGTCATGCTTACCTGCAAATCCATGAATTTGTAGCAAAGAAAGATGGAACCTAAAATATCTCGCTTTTCATATTAATAAAAACTAATTAGATTATGCTTGATTGACGTTTGTAAAGTGACTTCAAATTAATTTCAAATGAAATTTGTAGTATCCGATCGCATCATATTATATACTCTCTTTGTTCTAAGAAGAAAGTTCATTTTCTATTTTCATATAGATTAAGAAATATGGTTAAACGATAATTTTATTCATATAACTTTTCAATTATGTCCATTTTAAATAGCATATGAGCAATTATTATATTTGAATGATAAATAAGAATTAACGAAAATTATTGAAAATAAAATAAAATTTAATAAGAGTATAATATATAATTTAAAGATTAATTATAATACAAAAAAGAAAAGTGTACTTTGGGACGAATCAAAAAGAAAAGATAAAATTTGTGGTCTAATTAGACAACATCAGGCTGTTACATATCCAGGACCTTTGACATAAATAGACACCTCATAAGTTCCATCCTTTCGCCTTTTCGTTTCAACTTCACTTTGGATTGGCGCTGCACTGCAAGAATACTGTTTCCACCATCTTTTAAAATTGAAAGTCAATTTGACCCACTATCACTCTATAATAATAGAGGGAAATTGATTAACTATCTTTTTGAGACGGAGAAAGTAAGACAATTATTTTAAAAAAAGTCAAATAAAATTTTTTAAACTTTTAGAGGTTAAATATAATTTTTTACAAAAAAAAATTCTTTTGTCGCGGCCCGGGCGCCTTTAGCCTCCATTAAGCTAATAACTTTTTTTTTTTTTTTTTTTTTTTTTCGTCGCGGCCCTAGGGCGCCTTAGCCTCCTATAGTGCTAATAAACTTTTTTTTTTTTTTTTTTTTTTTTGGAAAACCAGATGTTTTTGAAGAAATAATTATTTTGGATAATCACTACTATTTCATTTTTTTTTGCAAAATAAATATCTAGCTATATTACTTAATTATTTGTTCTCTAATTGTCTTTGATCCTAAAAATATTTTGTAATAAATATTCTTTTTTATTTTTATAAAATAAACTTTTTTTTTTTTTTTTTTTTTTTTGGGAAACCAGATGTTTTGAAAATAAATTTTTGGAAATCACTACTATTATTTTTTGCAAAATAAAAATCTAGCTATATTACTAAATTTGTTCTCTAAATTGTTTGATCCAAAACATATTTGTAATAAAAATGTTTTATTTAAAAAACTTCATAATATCTTTTTCAAAGATAATGAGTCAAAATTTAATTTTTAATATGAAATATTTATTTTTCTCAGAGATAACAAGTAACTAAATTAAGTGAATTAGTTAAGATTAATATTTAATCGCTCATAAATTTGTATAAATTAGTTTCCAATAATTAAATTCGGTTCATCAATTAATCTGGTTTGGTTTAAAAATAATAACAATCTAAAATTTATTTTTTTAATAGAAAATCCAAATAAACTAACAAATAAACTAAAATGGGGCCCATAGACGCTGATTCAGATGATGACTAACCATTTCTATAAACAAAATAAATAAATAAAAAAAAAAAGGAAAACGAAACCCAGGTCGACGTCGTTTAAGTCTAGGGCTGTAAAAAAATGCTGGTTCGATTTTCGGTTTCAATCATTTGCTTCTTTGCTCATCCGGCCTTTGATTTCTTCTTCTCCATCTCGAATCGATTCTCTCGTCTCCCTCTTCTTTTCCAACTTCACTTTCTCTATCTCCCTCTTCTCTTCGAGCTCGATTTTCTTTTCAGACTTTTCTTGGATTCTCCTTTTCTCTGTAAGTTCTTATTTGTTTATAGATTGCATGAGTTTTGATTATTCAATCTAAAGTTTGATTTTTCAATGAGTGTTTTTCTTTTTTATTTTCTATATTTTATTTTTGAGATCTGTGGAATTTAGGATTATGTAGAGTTCACAACTTGGATTTCTTTTTTTGGGGAATTTAGTCTTTGTTATTTTTGAGATCTGTGGAAGTTAGGATTATGGGTAAAGTCCACAACTTGGATTTCATTGTTGGGGAATTTAGTTTTTATTTCTCAATTAGAGCTTAATCTGATTGAATTTCGTTATTTTTATTTGCTCATGCTGTGTGTATGTTGATTTTCGTTTTTGAGCTTCTGTTTCTTCCTTTAAGATTTCTTTATTATAGAATGTAATTTCATTTGTACTTTGCCAATTTTCAATTCTACTGTATGCATGTATATGATTGTAGTTTAGTTTGTGTCAGCTATCAGTTATTATTTTGATTTGAATTTAGTTTGATGCTTCTTATTTATGCTGTTGCTTATTGGGTTTGCTTAATTGCATTCCCAATCGATGGGATCTGGGATCTGTTTCAGAAATTAGAGTATTATGCTTCATTAGATGTGATGCTTGTAGATCAATCATTCAAATTTTAGAGCTCAACATACCACTAGATTAGCCTACCGCTGTAGAAACTATAGGTATGTGTACATGTAGTTTGTTGTCAATAGTTGCTTGCTGATTTCTGAGGTCGAAAAAGGCTGCTCCCTTTAATTCTTTTCATCAGTTGATACGAAATGGAACCTGTTTCAGAAATTAAAGGTTTTGCTAATCATTATAAGATTTGCAGTTTTTGATATTTGGTAGTTGAGAGATGTCTAATGAGAAGAGAAATTGAAAAGTTATACTTTCATTCTTATTCAGGGAAAGGAACAACTGTAATATAGGAAGGTTTTGAAGTGAGTATATATTCATTAGAAAAGATGCCCTCTCAAAAGATAGAGACAGGTCATCAGGACACGGTCCACGATGTGGCCATGGATTACTATGGCAAGCGCATTGCTACTGCCTCATCAGATCATTCAATCAAGATAATTGGGGTTAGCAATAATACGTCCCAGCATCTTGCTCAGCTGACTGGTCATCAAGGACCTGTTTGGCAAGTAGCCTGGGCTCACCCAAAGTTTGGGTCCTTGCTTGCGTCGTGTTCTTACGATGGGCGCGTCATAGTATGGAAGGAGGGAAATCAGAATGAGTGGACTCAAGCTCATGTTTTTGATGACCACAAATCGTCAGTCAATTCTATTGCTTGGGCACCTCATGAGATTGGTCTTTGTTTGGCATGTGGCTCTTCAGATGGAAATATATCAGTTTTTACTGCACGAGCAGATGGTGGTTGGGACACATCCAGGATTGATCAAGCTCACCCAGTTGGTGTAACTTCAGTCTCTTGGGCACCATCCACCGCACCTGGTGCTCTTGTTGGTTCTGGTTTGCTTGACCCTGTTCAGAAGCTTTGCTCTGGTGGTTGTGACAATACTGTAAAAGTGTGGAAGCTCTATAATGGGATCTGGAAGATGGACTGCTTTCCTGCTCTTCAAATGCATACTGATTGGGTAAGAGATGTGGCATGGGCACCCAACTTGGGCCTCCCAAAGTCGACTATTGCTAGTGCTTCTCAGGATGGAAAGGTTATTATATGGATAGTCGGGAAGGAAGGGGATCAATGGGAGGGCAAGGTCTTACATGATTTCAAGGCTCCTGTTTGGAGAGTCTCATGGTCACTCACTGGTAACATATTGGCTGTTGCTGATGGGCATAACAATGTGACACTGTGGAAAGAAGCTGTAGATGGAGAATGGCAACAGGTGACTACCGTCGATCCCTAGGGACCAAGTATTGCAAACAAACTTTTTTCCTTTGATACTTTGTTGTGCTTTAGTTGCATTGCATTTCAAATGATTAGAACCTGTTTTTCCTTGATATTATTCTGTAGTTGGAGTGTTTATGTGGGATATTTGAGTCTTCAGGTTTTGGACCAGAGTTTGGCAGATAGAATGGATATTGTACTCGGCATCTTATATGTTCATTTTTGTTTTATGTGAATTAACAGATCATTTCCGTTACTGTCATGTAGCTTGCCATGTCAAACACACATATTTTTCTGACTCAAAACAGACTTATGCATCCTTATTCCTAACATAACGCTTGTATCCTTTTTCCTCTGCCTTTCTCTAAACCTTAATTGTCTCTCTTTGTTCTGCTCTTTACTTTAAATTTGAGAGAGAGAGAGAGGAAATATATTAAATTAAAAAAAATTTTAGCGTGCCTATCTTTCTGGCAGCTAAAATACACTTACATACTATTTTAAGTTAATTAATTTCATTGCTTTTGATGCTTCTGATTATGCTGTTGCGTGTTGGTGGAGCTTTAAGTGTATTTCTGGGTTATGTAATGAGTGGAAAACCTGTGTAATCTGAAGAATCTGTCAAGAGGACTCGAGGATCGGAATGATCCACTAAACCTTATTACAGATGCAGGAGTACAAATCCAATTCAAGCATATTATAAGAGTCCTATAGTAATCCATCTTTCTACTCATGGCGTGATATACTTCATTTCTGGAAAAGTAGGGCGTTGCGTACAAGGAGTGAAGATTGAGATAAATGATTTTGCACCGCGGCTTCTGTAGCTTTTCCGGTCACTAATCCGTTGCCGGAATAACCATAACTCGTAATAAATAGGCATAACTTATGAATAAGTATCTTAATAGGCTTTAGTCATGAATTTGTGCCTTTGTACGTTGAATTATACTGCTATTAGAGAAATTTTTGTTTGCAACTTCCTATTGAAACAGAGAATAAAAATTATTGGGGATATTTAAGTAAATCTTGAAAATGATTAACTCCAGACATGTTATGTACGGATAATTTTATTTTATTTTAACGAGTAACGTAATTATGCTAGTTCAATATGGTCCAAATATTAATTATTTAATCCATTTTTGCTTAAATGATATGTATTTTTACCAAAAACTTTTTCTAATTAAGTAATATCATTTAAATATAAAAATCTTAAATACAAATCTCAAAAGATAATTAATATTTAAATAAAAATTTGAACTTAATTATTTTATTATATATGTAGTTTGATAAAATGGTTAATAAATTGAAGAGGATAAAAAAAATGACACATTTGTTAATTATATTAAAAGCTACCTTATATATTTATCAAGTAATAAGCAAAAATGAAAGTACAAAATATATTTTCAAGAAATTTGCTTCCTAACCTATTACAGAAAAAAAAAAAATTTTATTTTAATATTTTTAAAATTCTAAAAATTCTTGTGGGTTCCCTAATGTTATTTTATTAGAATATCTTATAGCATTTTGTGAATCCAAATTTATATATTTTAAAAAATGCATTAAAAGATGTAAAGACTTTTATAAAATACTTCATTGTCTATATATTTTCTTCAATTATAAATAATCTTTAAGGGAATAATATATAAAGTCATCTAATCAAAATATATTGAATTAAAATAGGCTCTCTTTGAATGGGAAAGAAACTATAAACTAAACAAAATAGATTTGAGGATTAGGTCATGGTAATTAACTTGAGCTTAATTAACCATAAATAGATCATATTCGGTATTAATTTATAAGATTTGGTGAAATTTACGCTGAAACCATTACTAATTGTGTCAATGTGAAGCCAAAATTAATATAATGTTATAATGGAATCCATTAGAATAAAATCCTAAGTGATTTTAGTATATCTGAATAGATCAGATTCAGATACATTAGGATCGTAAATATATTCTAACAAAATCATCAATTGATATTATAAATATTTTACCTTATTTTTAACCAAATTTTATTCCATTAATATTTTGAATATTTAATATTACAAATAATTAAATCTATTTAAAAAATAATTAAGTAACATATGTAGTTATACATAAAATAATTATTTTGATAACAAAACCAAAATTATTAATAGGAAAAATAAACAAATTCTTGACCGCCAAAAAGTAATTAAAACTAAACATTATATATAGAGAGAAAGATATGATAAGATAAAGCTTGCCCGTAATAGGATTCTAATTTCTAATTAGAATGGAACAAAACTTCTCAATTAGTATTACTAATATATAGTTATTTTAATATATTTATAATATTACAAATTTGAAAAAAGGATTTTGCTACTTTGGACATATAAAATTTTGCTATTTAATTAATACATATAAAGAATTGTAAAAACAATATATAGACATATTAAAAATCAAATAACCAATGGCAAGATAATAAATCTTTTTTTTTTTTGAGAATTCAAGATAATAAATCTTAAACGTATTCTTGATAGCAAAATCTAAAATTATTGATAGAAAAAATAAATAAATTCTTGATAGTCAAAAGCAAATAAAACTAAACATATATATATAATGATATGATATGATAAAATTTTTCACAATAGTTCTAATTTCTAATAAAAATAAGACAAAAAATTCTCAATTAGTATTCCAATATATAGTTGTTTTAATATATTTATAATATTAAAAATAATATAGTTTATAGTATATAGAATAATATGTATCAACTTACCCTTCATAGAATGATTGTAAAGAAATATATATCAACTTATCCTTAATAGAATATATTTATTAAAGATAAATATTAATTATTTATTTACTAGTCAAACATAATAATAAACTTTAGTAATAAAATAATATGATCAATGCAAATTGTAAATAGCACCTGTGTAATCACTTAGTCTCGTTTGATATAATTAATTATATTCTTACCATATGTTTATTATAATCTTATCATATTTAAAAAATAAATAGAATATAAAATGATACATTATTTAAAATAAAAATATTTGTCACATTTTGCAATAACATAATTGCATATAAAATCTTATATTTAAATATACTAAATAAAGAATTTATATTTAAATAGGAAAATTAATAATTACTCAAAATTAAATTATCTTTATTTTTCCAACCAGTAAAATCAATCCATAAATTTAGTAGCAACATACATACTAACTAAATAATTTATATTTAAATAAAAAATCTAATAACTAATCAAAATTAAATTACATTTATTTTTCAACTAAGATAATATAAATCTTTCCATATTTATTTAATTTGATGTAGAAACTAGGCCAACATTCCTTCTTTAGTTTTCTTGACAGCTTGAAAATATTATTGTATTGTATTATTTAACTAATTTTTCCTTAATAGTTAGATTGTGTACATTATATTTTTCTCTAAAAATCAAAATCGAACCAAATACTTTAAAAACGCAATTTAATATATCGATTTAGTTCGATTTGTTATCAATTTTGTTCAGTCCTATCCCTTCCCATCTCTATATAAGAAATTGTATTGAACCCAAATGTTTCAAAAAGAAAGAAAGTAGTTCTCTTCTGCTTTGCCCTAATTCAAAATTTCTTAGTCATGGGTATTATGAAAAGAATCATGAGCTTGGGTATTATTATGTGTATGCTACTCAAAGTAGCTATGGCATGGAATCTCACAGTTGGAGCCCCAAATGGTGGGTGGAATTCCAAAACCCAGTTACAAGCGTGGGCAAACTCGAAGTTCATCTTAGTTGGAGATAATTTGAGTAAGTTGCTAATTGCCTCCATTTCTTTTGAATTCCAATAATAAGAAATTCATATTAATTGATTTTTTTGTTTCCCAATTTATATTTTCTTTAGAAAATGGTATAAGATATCGTAAATATTTGAAAAGATGAAAACTGTAATCAGGAAGTCGAATTAGTATTATAAGACAAATATTCGGCTCTTAGATTATTAATCTAAGAGAGCTCTCTCACTCTTTACATTAGTGAAATGATCTATCGGAATGCATTTGATTAGTCTGCTTAATCGACTTTTTAACATTGCATCTATTTTAATTGCAGTTTTTGTTTATGAGCCTAGCGAGGACAATGTACTTCAAGTATCTAAAGAAGATTTTTACGCATGCGAGAGTAAAAATCCAATTCAAGCACACAATAAGAGTCCTACAGCAATCAATCTTCCTACCCTAGGCCTGATATACTTCATTTCTGGAAAACCAGGGCGTTGCAACCAAGGAGTGAAGGTTTGGATAAACGTTCTTAAACCGCCGCTTCTCTAGCTTCTCCGGTCACTAATCCGTTGCCGGAACAACCATAACTCATCTCCAACAGGATCATGAATTATACTGCTATTTAGAACAACTTTTGTTTGCAACTTTATATTGAAATAAAGAATAAAAATCATTGGAGATATTTTAATTAAAGTCTCTGAAAAAAATAAGTCTTGACGTATTATGTGCAAATAATTTTTATTTTATTTAACGTAATTCAATATTATTTAAATATTAATTACTGAATTTAGTTTTACTTAAATATGATGTATTTTTACCAAATTTTTTCTAAAAATAAAAAAAAATCAGAAGTTATGTTTAATGATATCTATTTAATAATATACAATATTAATTTCAATATTTAATGATATATAACTAATGCGATACCGTTTTAAAAGTCATATATAATTATTATTACTAAATAATTTAAAGGTCTAATTATTAAATAGTATTTCTCTTTCATTTTCTTTTAGGACCGTATCTAAATGAGAAGAAAAATATATTTGGCCATGTTAGACACGGTCCTAAAAGAGAAATTATCTAGATTTTAGATTTAACATGAAATACAGCTGTTTTAATTGGAAAATTTCTTGAAAAAATATATATATTTAATTATTTATTTAAATATTTGCACCTAAATTGATATGAAAATAAATAATAATGGAAAATTGGACTTCTTGTCATTAAATAGGAGCATTTTAATGGCATTTCCATTTTCAAAGTCTTCCAAGACTTGCATAGTTGACTAGACAAAACATATTATAAACTAGGGTTGTATCCATGCTATATATATATATACCATAGAAAAGCTCTAACAAAAGCACATACATTTCCAACTTATAGTGATCTTTCAAAGGTTTATACCTCTAAATCAAAGAAATGGCTAGTTATGGAGATAATCGAAAGCCAAGCACCATCGGAGTAGCCGCTTCTGCAATTTCGTTGGATGAATCGAAGAGTTCGAGTCTGACAAAAAATTTAGGTCAATTTTTATCATATTGTTCGTATTTTTTGTGGGTTCTACTCTTTATTAGCTTTATTATAAGGCAATGGCATACAATTTCTTTGATTTGTATGGTCATTATGACTTATATGGCTTCACCCTATGTATTAATGTTGGGGTTAAGGTTAGGGATAGTGTCTAATTCCTATAAGTTGCTCCATAGTGTCACTAATAGATGTTTAGTACTTATTTTAGTGATTATTGTGACTCTACTTGGCTCATCTTAGTTAAAGTGAGATTGAAAGTAGAGAATGATTTGATATTGTGTTATTTTAATATTTTGATCAAACAATATGTATCAAAGGTTAATATTTTCATTGGGGAAGTATGTTTCCAATGGAAAAGTTGTTGTAATTTAATTTGCTTTTTTAAAAATGTAATGCAAAATAAGACAAATTTGTTATATTTAGAATTTATTTACCATTATCTTTACTAGATAAATAAAATATAAATTAGTATTAAGTAATTTCTCAAATTTAACATATGTTCCTTCAATTTCTCTCTAAATTAGAGAGATTTGAATTTGTTGGCTTAGAGGAAAAAAATAAAAATTTGATCCAAAGCCTAAAAGCTTGAAAAGCTCTCTTTTTTTTCTTCCACGGGCAGCCACCCATGAGCTCTCATCTGTGGTCAACCCTTTCTCTTTTTTTTTTTTCTTTTTTTTTACAAATAATCCACATATCTGAGTTATTGTCGTCCATATCTTGGGATTTATTGTTGCCCATATTTTGAAATTTTATTCTCGGATCTAGTTTTGAGTTATTGTTATCACCATTATGATGATTTTGTCTAGCATTTTTCGTTATTTGGATAGTTATGCAAAAACAAATGTAGATCTCCTCTACAATAGAAGGAAGAAATTTAAAGGTAGTCAGATCGAACTTGTAGAAAGATTACGGAATCAAAAAATGCTATGAATAGCTACCAAGTGGAGCGAGCAATCGATGACGCAAATATTATACTTTGTTAACTCAATCAGATACTTCAAACCTATAAGTAGTTTAATATTAGATTTTCTATACAAAAATATAGAAACATATTGATCTGTATTTCATATCTGCATACAGTTTCCTCTTAATAGAATTTCTATTTTAATTTCTTCTAAAAAAATAATTTTTATTTTCTTTTAATCTCTCGAAGAAAAGAAAATTCAATTTTTATTATTTTCCGTATTATTTTCTTTCTCCTCTTTTTTTTTTTTTTTTTTCGTTAGATTTAACGGTTTAGATTTTCTATACAAAAAATATTAGAAACATATTTGATCTGTATTTCATAATCTGCCATACAGTTTCCTCTTATAGAATTCTATCTTTAATTTCTTCTAAAAAAATAATTTTTATTTTCTTTTAATTCTCTCGAAGAAAAGAAATTCCAATTTTTTATTATTTTCCGTATTATTTCTTTTCTCCTCTTTTTTTTTTTTTTTTTTTCCACTTTCCAGTTTTTTTTTTTTTTTTTTCCACTTTTCCAGACAAAAAAAGTTGAAAAACCATGTATTTAGAAAAAGGAATGTTTGGGCACAGAAATGTAAATTTTGAAATGGGATAATAAAGGACACCATCATTATTTTATTATTATTATTATAAATGGAAAAAGAATACTCATTCAACATTATGAAATAAATATTTTATTATAAGGAAAGTAGTAAGTGATACTCCATTTTTCTTTTTTTCTCATGGAAAATGTTTAACTAATTGAAAAAGCATGGAATGAATTTACACACTCAACTTCTCAAGTATGAACAAAAATTTTCCTTGTCTAAGCATTTATGCATAATTTTATCTTTAATATAAATTTAAGGAAAAAATTGAATAATTTATATATATTAAAAGATGTAATGCTCAATAGAAGATAATTTCAATTGAATAATTTATTAAGACTTCAATTAATTCAATGTTATTATTTTTTCATTATTTTTTTCTTATAATACCTCTTTTTCTCAGCATCCTGTTTTATATATTATGTAATAAAAAATATTTTAACAAAAATCAAATAAAAAATTTCACCCATATTTTATATATACAAAAGCTCTAACAATGACTAAAAAAAATTAAGTATTTTTGGAAAAAAAAGTTTATATACTAATATCCAAAAGTAACTATTTTACCATAATTTATTTTTAGACACAATTAAACTCATTTGATCAAAATCACAACAAAAAATAATTTACTATACTTCAAATATATTATAATTATTATTAATTTCTTCTCAATTGTATTTAATTCATAAAAACTTATATAGTAGAAGAACTTGAATATAAAATCTCCTGTTATCATATTTTTAATAGGATGTAAAAAGACTAATTAAACCTTGTCGATAAAAGTTAATGTTTTTTACAATTATATAGTGATAGCCGTTGTGTATAAATAAATATTTAAAAAATTAATTTCCATTTAGTTAAAAATGTCAATAAATTAGTAATAATAAAATAAAATTATCCGTATCAAAATTGTCAATAAAACCCAAATGGCACATGTCCACAGATTTGATACTGAGGTGAGTAGAAATTTCCTACTGAAAAAACAGGACATGTTCAACACGCAAATGATCACATCCACTAAATTTTTCAAAGTCTTCCATATCCATTTCATAGACTAGGTCAAGTCTTCTTTTTTTTTTTTTTTCAATTAAATTCTTACTATTTCAGTCATTTTCAGAGGAAAAATTACATTATAGTTCATATAGTTTGAAAAATATAATTAATACTTCCTTATGAAATAGACTAATTTTCTCTGTGTTTTGCTTCCATTACACTACTAAATCATTCTGTCTGTTTCTTATATCTTAGTATCTTATGGAATAACGGAAATACTGTTTTTATATTTTCTCAAATTTGATAAATTTTTAAAAACACAATAACAAATTAGCTGTATTTCTCAAATCACATAGATCATATTGTAAGTTTCTGGTATCAAAATTTTAATATTTCTCCCATTGACCTTTGTTTTTCTTATTGATTTAATGGAAAAGATGCAAAAATTGAATAGAACGATGTAATAGTATAATGGAAGCAAAAAATATGTATAAAAAAAAATATATGGACGAACTAATTGTATTTCATAAACTATAGGGTCTATACCGTAATTTTTTCTTTTTGAAAGGATATTAAGAAAAATGAGACATCAAGAAAAGTTGAATTTTCCTTGTACAGCATATATAAAATGGCACACCACAACTTGTACAAAACTTGTAAATACAATATATACTTGAATTAAAAAACAAAATGGCTAGCTCCGGAGCAATTCAAAGGCAGATTGGAACCACCGCCCCAAAATCAGCCTTCCTGGAAGACATCGACTCGTCGAAAGGTTCAACCGGAGCTAACTCGAACGAATTCAAGCGTGCGGAGTTCCGACTAGTCTGCCCCTTCAATATCCCTCCAAACCCAGATGCAGCTGCCCTACGAATTATAAGAAACTTACACCATTTTGCATTATATTACACACATTTTGTTTGGATCGTACTTTTCATAACCCTAATTCCAGCACGTAAGGTGTCCTTAATTTTACTGGTAATTATGACTTATGTAGGATCATTGTACCTATTGCTATTAAGTGGTGTCCCAAATTCTAACATTATCCATAAAATTTTGGATAAACGTATAGTTTTGCCTTTGATAGTTATTGCTACTATGGTTCAGCTTGTTCTTACACATGCTGCTATTCATCTTCTTCTTACTTTAGCAGCCACACTACCTGTCGTTTTGGTTCATGCCGTTTTGTGGGTTAGAGAGGATTTCTCTGTTGAGGATAATTCTGGGGAGTTGGTTCCTTTTGTTCATCATGAGTCAATAGACATTGTTTGATTTTCGTTTTTCAAATTTTTGTATCCGAGTGGTGTTTTATAGAGAATAATTATTATTATTAATGTTAATTTATATATTCTAATAAAGAGAAGTGATTGACATACATATTTGTCTTTTTTTTTTTTTTTTTTTTTATGTGTGAGACTCTCAGAAAGCATCAAGAGAAAATAAGGTTATTACCGAAGGAAATGTGTTCCTTGTAAACGGAACAGATATATCTGATAATGTGATGCGAGAACTCCACAATTATTCGTATTTGTGCTATACCACAAGTAATACAGTCTGTTAGTGGTGAATTAGTGTAGGATCAACAAGTTACTAGTACATTCTGACATTAAAAAACAAAATGTGAGTGCTAATGGCTCCGGTGATAATGGTTCTCTCGAAAGGTTGTGCTATGAAATATTCTTTCGCTCATCACTACTCTCTTGCGTAGTACACTCCTCACTCTCCTCGAGAGAGAAAAAATTCTGACGTCTCCATAGGAAGATCATCCGATATGTATACCTTGCTGTTCAATGCACAGGCAAATTAGTGGTGCCTGTCTCATCATGAGACATCAAAGCGAGCAGTTGTCTAACTCTCTGAGACCAACCGAATTCAAGCTGTGCGTGTGCAGATGTCAGGTCTTCGCGACATAAGATATCTCCCCGTTATCCAAGTAATTCCCCTTTCCATTCTCCCTATGATGCAGCTTCGCAACCGTACGAGACGAATTATAAGAAAACACTTACGACCATTTTGCGATCTTGCCACTCTCCACATTTTGTTGTGGAATCACGTTTACTTTAGTACTCTACCATTTTTACCCGCCTAATTCAGCACCGTAGGTGCTTCCTTAATCTTTACTGGAAGTTTCGAAATTTTGACTGTGGTCCGTAGGGATCTGTTGTACCTCCTATTGACTTATTAATCGCTAGTTGACATCTAGGGTCCCATGAATTCTAGCTTATTCATACTTCACATATATGCTGTGTGATGCATTTGGTATTCTCAAGTCTGCTATTACACGGTTTTGCCTATGGTGATAGTTTTATCATTTGTGTCGCTAGACGCTAGTGAGAGGAGTGGTCTATTTGCTTTGTTCTTACACATGCTGCTATTCATTCTTCTTTTACTTTAAGCAGTCCACACTACCTTGTCGTTTTGGTTCATGCCGTTGTTGTGGGTTAGAGAGGATTTCTCTGTTGAGGATAATTCTGGGGAGTTGGTTTCCTTGTTCATTCATGACGGTCAATAGACATGTTTGATTTCGTTTTTCAATTTTGTATCCGAGTGGTTTTTTAAGAGAATAACTTATTATTATTAATGTTAACTTTATATATGTCTAATAAAAGAAGAAGTGATTGACATACATATTTGTCTTTTTTTTTTTTTTTTTTTGAGAATAATGGATTAATTTTGTTAATTTTGGTTGATTAGACCGGCCACAACTTTTACCTATTGTGTGTGTGTGTGTGTTCGATAAACAAAACGTCTCTTGTAAACATTTATGAAAAAAATATACAGTAACAACTATCGGCTAAATTTTTTTTTTTTTTTTTTTTTGAGAATAATGGATTAATTTTGTTAATTTGGTTGATTAGACCGGCCACAACTTTTACCTATTTTTTATATTATTCGATAACAAAACGTCTTTTAACATTTTATGAAAAAATATCATAACAACTATCGGCTAAATACTAATAAGACAATTAATAATTATTAAAATAATTATGAACAAATGAACTGCATAAGGGCCTGAACTGCATAAGGGCCAAGGGCAGTTTAGTCATTTCCGCGAGAACAAGAACGGTTAAACTGTTACATATAAAGTTATAATTTACAACTTTCAGAATTTAGACATACAATTACTACTATCTATATGTTTATATGGCAAAGAAACGACCAGAAAAACCAGGAAGCTAACAGTAAAAGGAAACCCCGTATCGATTTGCAGCGCCAGGTGAGAAACCCATATCTCTCTAAAGCCCTAGTTTCTTCCTATTCTTGCTCGCTCAAAACACTATTTGCCAACGCTTCGTTTTTTCTTGATCGTTCTTGATTTGCAAATTTTGAAATCTCAGTACCGTTTGGGTTTCCATTATTGTACATAGAACTTTCTCTTGATTTCGATGAAATTGATTAGTTTCTAGTTTTGATTGTCGGGGTTTTTTCCTGTTTAGATGGTTCAATGTGTAAATTTTAGCAGTTTGGGGGTTTATTCTGATCTGGGTCTCTTGAAATTGGTGTGATTTGAGTTGGTTTTTTGCATTTTCTAATAAAGTTTGGTTTTAAGAAACCCAAGAGTTGAATGCAGCTGTTGTTGAGTGGAAATTTTTTGATATGGTATTTTCATTTTTGAGAGTTCAAAGAACTCAGCTTCAAGTCAGGAAGAGATAAAAATATTCTAAAGAGACAAGGTTATAGGTTGTTACAGATGGGGAAGCCATTGTTTTATGAGATCTTGGAAAAACCAGCTACGAGTTGTATAATAGGGATTTGCAGTGCCATTTGGTTTTATATACAGAAGAAAAATATTGGGTACTCACATGTGGGCTTAAGTTATGAAACTGCCATTGAAGGGCATCATTGGAGGATAATCACTTCAGCTTTTTCTCACATTAGTGTTATTCATCTTGTTTTCAATATGAGTGCATTGTGGAGTCTTGGGATAGTAGAACAATTGGGGCATATGGGCCTTGGCATGGCATATTATCTTCATTATACTCTTGTGCTAGTCGTGTTATCTGGGCTGTTAGTATTGGGAATGTACCATATATTGATACAAAGATTCAAGGTAGACTACTTTCGAAGAGTCACAGCTGTTGGGTATTCTTGTGTGGTTTTCGGATGGATGACGATTCTTTCCGTGAAGCAACCCTCCTCAAAGTTGAATCTTTTTGGGTTTCTTTCGCTGCCCATCAGTTTTGCACCTTTTGAATCATTAATTTTTACATCAATTATTGTTCCACAAGCAAGTTTTCTAGGTCATTTGTCAGGAATTATTGTTGGGTATGCTATTGCTTGGGGTTTGATTCATGGGATGAACAATTTCTGGGCAATCTCAATGTTGGGATGGATTGTGGTCATTTTTGTGTTCAGTTTGAAGCGCTCTGGTGCTTATGATTTTAACTTTCTTGAGATTGAATCTGTTACTGATCCATCACTGCCTTCTGTACGGTTTCTTGGGAGTGGTAGAACCTTGCAGATGAGTGCATTACCACTTGAAGGTGTTGAAGTTGCTTAATGTCTGATAAACGTTTTATCTTCGCGAAGAATCCTTAGAGCAAGTTGTTGTCAAAAGCGATTTGTGAGGTTACAAGTAATCATCCTCACCCTGTGGTTTGTTTATTGTACTGCAGATTTTTTTTTTTTTTACTCCTTCCCGAATTCCTTTGTCTTTTGGATCTCATTGTCTCCATTTTTGAATACCTAGTATATTGTTGAAACAAATTTCCAGAAATCATATAAATGAATTTCACAAAAGAAATGCATTCTGCTCTTGGTCTTTTCATATGTTAGTTGTGCTCTAGTTTCTTTTTTAAATATCATCTTGATGTTGTTATTTCATGCATAGGGTTCTGTAATCTTTTATGACCATTCTGATTATTGAACAATACATAATGCAATGAGTATGTTTTGCTGTGTATTTATTCTAGTTTTGTTGAAGATATGGTTGGATAGTGCTCTTTAGACAGTTATACTTACGTAAGGATATATATCCTAGATGCACCAGAAATATACAAATCCCCTCACAGAGGCAAGCATGACACTTGCACATATGCCCAAACTCCATTCTTTATGTGAAATAGGAGATCTTATTTTCTAGAGAAAAGTTTAAGGTATAACTTATAAGTGAGTTCTGAATCCTGATGCCATAAATTGGAAAAAGAATGTTGTTCTCAAACATATATTGTTTTTTAGTTTAATTTAAAACTTGAGAGATCATTTTAAAAGAGAAAAGAATTGCAACAATGTGATAGACTTTGTAACTTCTCCTACAAGTCTCCTCTGCTTTATATGAGAATTTGGTTTGGAAGAATCTTATGGTTGCAATCGTTTATCCTGGGTTAAGTTTTCTTGTATTATTCTCAAATTCTTTTCTTTTACCCTCATTTTCTTTTTGGTGTTTAGTTAGAGGATGGCTCTTCAACTCTTCAGATGAAGATGCTAAAGTCTAGCATATAAAGTATTAGTAGTCCCCTAAAGTGAATTGGGGACAAGCTCCTACTAATCATTAATTTGCACGCAGAAATATTTAATGAAAGAAAAAATTAGAAAAGGGCAATATGTTCTGTATATACCATTATTGTAATTTGCACTTTGGTTCTTATTGTTTCAAAATCAATAATTTTAGTTCTCAGATATAGAGACTAAAATTTCTAATCCTGAAACATGGACCAAAATATATATTAAGCAACTCAAAGGATATTTTTTTTGCCCATTGATCCAATTTTGCCAATTTTTTTCTGAATATATATTGATTTTTTTAGTTTCTGTTCAGAACACAAATGGTTCCTTCGCATCCAAATTCATATGCAAAGTAACCACCCACTGAATTTGGAAGCAGAACCCTTTGGAAAAATAAAAAAAGAAGAAAATTTTGGAAGCAGAAAGGCATTAGTACCAGTAGTAATCAAAGGGGAAATTTCATGTCTAAAATTTATCCTCTGTATCTTCATCTTATAAACTAAATGAAACCAAAGCCAGCAGCCAAATCAACAAATTCAAGCTTTCAAATGAGTACTCTTTTTATACTTGTTATGTATTCATTAAATTATAAAAAGAAATGAGTTTATAAAAATGAGCTATCTATCGATAAATTTACTATCGTGTCAACAATTAATATCCAACTCATCAACTGCTAACTCCATACAGTCTATCCACGAACTGCAGCAAATCACAACAATCAAATGGTACGGCCAGTGATCAAGCAGCAGATGCTATGAACATTGGATGCTTTGTGTTGCTTCAATCATCCTGCAACGTCTAAAAATAACCTTCTCCCATAGCAATATTATGCACATTCCATCAGTAGAAGCTTATGCATCTGCAAATATTGTAATTTGCAGCAATCAATTATGGGGAAAATATTCATGTGAAAGAAAAGAAAACTTCAACTCCATGTTTTGATACAGTGACATGTATTAGTAATTCCAAAACCACTAAATTTCAAGAAAAATAATAAATATAATATAGGGAGATCAAATAAACAGAGAGAATCCTGAAAATCTAGCGTCACTATCTGGAATTTAAATCATGTTCAGGAATTCATTAAAACATTGTCTGACAAATAAAATGATAAACTAGGAATTTTTTAACTCCACCATTACTCCAAAACTTGGCTCACACAATAAAGCTAACCTGAGCTTAAGTGCTTTTACTTGCAGAGGTAAATACTTGACATAATATAAAGTGGGCCATATTGTTAAAGTTCTTTTTTTTGGAAAAAAAAAAAAAAAAATGAACCAGGAATGCAGCCCGGCAAACAAATTTTTGAGGTTGAATATTTTGCAGATATGAGAAAAGAAAACCTCAGGAAATAAGACCATATAATCCATTAGTAAGCAGGAAAGATGACAGTAAACAAAAGTAATGGAGAAACAGACAAAAATAAATAAATAAATAAATAAACAAAGAATTGTATAAAGCTTACTACGGTGTTAGATGACAGACTCAGAGGCAACAAATGGGTTCACCAGTGAACAAAACTGTCCACAAGTTGAAAGCAAGTCATTAAATGAAAATCCCAGCACTTAGTTCCCATACCAAACATATTAAATGACATAGTGCGAGCATGCCTATAGTTCAATGAAGCCATGTAAAAAAAGGAGAGTTGCCTTTTTTTGGCTTAATTTTGGCTGCCAATGACGTTTGAACTCACGATGTCACAGCCATGGAGAAAGCTCCTGTACTATATTAACCCAAAGCTCACTCGTAGAGAGACTTATTTCAAACATTGTAAAACATCCTTCAGCTAAAAACAAAAGACCAATAGTGTTTTCACGAGTTCCATTTCATAGCACCAAATGTGAAAAATTTAAATCTTGACTTTGCTCACAGCTATGAATATTTGCGACAACCATTTTTTAAAACTCTTACCATTTCTTTATATCTTCACTACAGTCTTCATGATTGGAATTTCCATTAGCATGTGGTAAGCGGGCGGTAGAGCCATTGTCTTGAGCACCAGGAAGAAGAAATTGAGAAAACCCCTGTCCAAGAGACTTCCATAAACGTGTTGGCAATGAAGACTGCAAACTACCTGCACTTCCAGATGACAATGGCTCGAATGAGCAAGCAGAAGCAGGGTTCAGGTCAGAGAATCTGAAAGCACCTAAGAGTCTTTCAGGAAGCTCTGATTCGGTCTGACCTTCAATGAGAAAAGCTAAGTCGACAGTTAGCATTGTAATGTAACCAAATGCAAGATGAACTATTGCACTAGCAACAACAGAAGATCCAATATCCACATCTACTTCAAAAAAATTATCTGCTATACAGTATTTACAGGTAAGGGCACGACCAATTATGCATACAGCCTGCTCTCCAACTGCCTTTCTTACAATCCAGGGACCTTTGACAATGTTGGCTACCAGTTTAAGCCTTGAGTTTCTAAACGCATCATCCCCTTTCAAGAACTGATCCATCAAAGATCCTTCTGGAATTGGTCCTTTGGAAACAAAATAGGCCACAGCACTATAATTATCTTTACTAGGGATTTGTAGATTGAATGCCCAAATGAAAGGCTTATCACCTGGCGGAAACTCATTATCAATAACCTTTCTCACACGACTGTTTGGATTTTTCAAAACCTCCCCAATCTTAGTAGAACCTTTAATCCAGTCAAAACCAAGAGGCTTTAGAAGATATTCTTCTGCAGGGATTTTAACCTTAGTTGTCAAGTAATCTGGTCCTCTAACCATGAACTTGTCTCCAGGAGGGGAAGCCCAACCATTTGGGCAATTATCTGGCTCGAGCAGGGGAACAGCTCCCTCTGATTTGATTCTCTCTATCCAACCACACTCACTTCTGTCACCAGGACTGGCCATATGTTCCTGTTTGAAATAGATGCATCAGATAATCATATGGTCAAAATATATAAGCAATGGAGGCAAACATTTATATTCAACAACACACACAGACCTCTTTCAAAACATTCACCAGATACACCAAAAGCAAAACAAATAATGAAAAATACATGAACTAGTACTACCCAATCAGTTGTGCAAAAGCTAGGAGGCAACATATGACTAATGAATAGAAGAAAGTGCACAAAATGCAGATTATGAGAACAAGCATTTGACAGTTGCTTATAACTCGTGATTTCTTCAAGACAATTCCACCAGTCAAAATGGCCTCCTTTTGAGAGAACTAATACAGGGAAAAGTAGAAAATCATTTTTTTAAACTAGAACACAAATTGCTATTTTTTCATTTAATTACTGCCAAAACTTTTTGTTTGATATCTATCACCATAGGTTGTGCAAAAGAAAAATGCCTGGTTGTTGGTTGGCATAAAACCACATGCAGGACCACCGTATTCCCCACCTCCCTTTATTACTTTTCTTTTTCTTTCCTTTTACAAAAAAGAAGAAAACAGATGGAAAAGATTGCACAAAGTAACAATCAGAGTATGAGCAAAATTCTCGATCTTATCCAGTACTGGAGTTTGCAACAAAAATTATTGATCATAAAAGCAATAATAAATTATAGAAGACAAAGAAAATATCCTCGACGCCTTTAAAGGATTATCAAGGGACAAGTAAAATGAAGAAATGCTTCTTTCCCTTCTGGATCAACAATAGATAACCCCACCAAAAATAGGTTACTACAGATCAAAACAATGTGGAAATTCATCATAAAAATAAATTCAATAGCAGGAAAGAAACAATCTCTTAGTGTGTTATATATTACAGAACCAACTGTAAAACAAAACTATTTTGTCATAAGATAACATGAATAGAGCAAAAACAACAAACTTACACCTATCAAATAACTAAGAAAGTCACTCTTTCAAAACCTCAACATTACTAAATTTCTGAGAAAAGTTCTTCGAGGCTGTTTTGAACTCGAAAAGTTTAACATCAAGAACTTGTTAAGTGCTTATGTAATTAGATATAACCCTGTATGTCTGAGAACCTGATGTTCTTCCAAACAGAAACTAGAAAAGCAAATTCTAAATCCAACTGTTTTACCAATAAACATACACAAACAGACACCATAATTATACAGAAAACAAAATAACCAAATAAACTACCACAAACCCAAAAAATTTTTTTTAACGAAAACAACATTTGCAGGGAATTACACTAACAATTCAAAGGAAAACCAGCAAATAATTAAGCAAATTACAAATTAGCAAAATCAGAACCAAGGAACCACCTTATAACAAAGAAAACAAAACTTGTCATCAATATGCAGGCGTGAGTCTCAATATGGCAATATACCCATAAAGGGCAGCTGTCAGAACCTACTAGATTTTTAGGGAAAAAGACAGTCAATTAATAAATAAAAAATCACAACCAAAATCCCTCCAAAAAGATTAAGAAAGAAAGAAATGCCAATCAAATTTAGCCAACAAGCTCAAACCTTTTATTGCAGGGATGAAAAGGGTCGCTGAGAAATCAGAATTCTCTACGAACCCTGAAAATAAATAGACAATTAGATCACAGAAATCAGGGTTTAAAGCTTTTAGCTTGCATTAGCTTCATCTTTTGTAAAATGCTCATTTTGTCTTGACCGGCAACTGGTGAAACAGAGGAGGATTCCATTCCAGTAATGAGAGGCTGCAGAGGAAATTTACTGGGTGAACCGGTGTCGGGTGACAGTCTGACTTTACGTGCCATTCTATCCAACCATAAATGCTCTGCTCACTTCTGTTAGTTGGGGCCTTTGGTAATTTGGCATTTTTCTTTTTTTTACTTTCCCTCTTTTTTTATTCATTAATTAATTACTTAATTGAACAAAAAAATAAATTAATAAAACCTTGAAGCTTTATCCTATTATATATTATTATTTAAAAATTAAAAATTTTATCTTTTTATATTAATAAAATGGAAAGAGTTAATGTTAAAATGTTTGAATAATTAAAAAATTAAATTATACTGTGAGCATTAACGAAGTGTAAAGCTTCTTTCAAAAAGGAAAAGAAAGGAAAACAAAAAGAGGTCTCACAGAATGTAATTCATTTTGCTTTCTCTAAATACTTATCTTGTCTTTTTATTTTTTTTTTTAAAATTTTAAATATATATATAAAAAGAAAGAAAAAACATATAAATATATCAATTTCCAATTTACCAGGAGAAGAAAATCCAAAATTATTTGCCACATTAATAAAGGAACACAAAAACATAATTATAGTTTTTCTTTAACTATTTTAATTTTATTTGAATTTATAATTAATATTTCCTTGAAAACGGCTAATATTTTCTTAGAAAAGCTATTATATTTACATTTTTAGCATTTTTAGCATCTATTATCTGTTAATTTTTTGATAGTAAAAAATCTATTATCTGTTAATTATTAACTATTTATATGGCATTTTTTAAAATATATATATATTCCGTAAAAATAGCTGCGGTTTTTTATATTACGAGTAAGGCTCGTTAATTTGTTAAAAAAATAAGTATCAAAAAATTATTCATGAATTATTATGAAATATTAAAAATTACCTTAAACGTTGTGTTGATGTTGCTACATACTTTTTCTTTTGCTTTTTCTTTTTCTTTTTGTTTTTTTTTTTTGGAAATTGGGTAAAGCATCATATTGGTTTTGAATTTTGTTCATTTGATCCAATTAGGTCCAATTGATTTTTCTCTGCCAAATTGCTTATTGAAAATTTGAAATTCAAACTTTGAGCTAATTGAAACTAAGTTTATCTCATTGCTTGCTAACATGTCATCTATGTCCAAATATTAAAAAAAATAATAATAAAAGAAAAGAAAATACAAATTTAAGTTAGAAACTCTAATATTAGCAGTTTTAGTATTGATTGTTTTGATAGTGTTTTAACAACATTTAGCTATTAATTATTTAAATAGTTTTTCATAAAAAGCTAAATGTTAAAATTTTACGTGGATTAATTTTTCATTAAAAAAAAAAAAAAAAAAAAAAAAAAAAAAACAAAAAAAAAAAAAAAAAGCCTATCAATCGCAACTCACCTTTTAATACTATAGCTAAGGACAACAGAAAATTAGTAGCAAAAACCACAGCGTTACAAGAAGTAAATTGATATTAAAATTTCAGGCGAAAGTTAAAAGAGGAAACACTAGCGCAAGCCCCCAACAGCTGAAAGGTTTGGCAACCACGCAAAATGAAGTACCAATGGTGAAACAATGATGATTAATCTTGACAAAGATCAGTAGCCGAGCGAAGAGCTATGCCTTGCAAATTAGCAAACTAATTACATGCTGCAGAGACTGACTAATAAGTATAGCCAAATGAACATGCATCAATTCCACAAACGAACCATCAACAGTTACAAAAATTTTCATCCAAATTCATCGTTAGCCTAGCAACTTTCACCATTATTATTGCCCCTGTTATAATATATACTATATATTTAAAACGGTGGTGTTGCCTTCGCTCCCAACCATTATTTTACTATTGACATTTAAGCCAGAAAGAGTAGAAGCTAGAAGAAGACCTTCAGTGAAAAAAAAAAAAAAAAAAAAAAAAGCTATCATCGAACTCCACCTTAATTACTATACTAAGGACACAGAAAAATTAAGTAGCAAAAACACAGGTAAGAAGTAAATGATATTAAAATTTCAGGGAAAGTTAAAAGAGGAACACTAGCGCAAGCAACAGTGAAATTTTGGCAACCACCAAAATGAAATTACAATGGTGACAATGATGATAATCTTGACAAAATCAGTAGCAGCAAGAGCTATGCTTCAAATTAGCAAACTAATACATGGCTGCAGCTGACTAATATATAGCCAAAAAATGACACATTCCACAAAGAACCATCAACAGTTACAAAATTTTCATCCAAATTCATCTTAGCTAGCAACATTTTTCACCATTTCATATGCCCCTGTTATTATTATATATATATAAACGGTGGTGTTGTTCGCCACATATTTACTATTTACATTAAGCAAAAGAGTAGAAGCTAGAAGAAGACCTTCAGTTGAATGAAAAGTACTGCCAATGATTAGGTCGGAATCATGAAGCTTCAGACGAATCCCTTCAAAACAAATAATTGGAGTTGTTAACAAGCAATTTAATTGTAGAAAAATGGTTGCTAGCTAGATAAACTGAAATAAATGCAATTACTATAATCAAAAGTCGTATATGAAGAAGACTACACACTTTGTGGTACTTGACTTTCTGTGCAGCATTATCCATCTTCTGTATATATATTCAATATATGAGCAACTTTATCCCAATCCTCACCCAGATTATCCTTAATCCTAGCTGACAACAGAGGCACATTTGTTAATTTTAGTTTGTGAAGGGTCTTAACATACGGCAATCCATCAGGAAGCATCTCCAAATTTGTACAGGATCTGATCTCCAAGCATTTCAGACAAGGCAGTGCCCCTTCCTCCACATTCCACTCCTCTAGCGGCTCTAGCTCCCACAATTTGAGGACTTGAAGCTTAGGAAATCCTCCAGAACTACAAACCATTTTCTTCCCAGTGAATGTCCCAGAGAATAATCTCAAATTTCTGAGGCTTGGAAGCTTGTCCAACATTTGCATTGGGTCTTCTACAAGTCCAGATGCTGACAAAGTGAGTTCAATAAGGTTTTGTGGGAACTCTGACACAAGATTCTGATTCTTTAGGTTTCCAACCAAATGTATACTAGAGAGATCCAAGTGACCCGATAAAGACTCTAGTTGTAGATCCGAAGGCTGACCCAATTCGTTAAATGATTTCAACTTCAAAGATCGAAGATGATTTAGCTTGAGAACCCAATTTGCTACAGCATCCAGTTGCAAGGACATTGCCTCTGACTGAGAAAGCTCCGTTTTCTTGCATGTAAGACCCAATTTTGTGATGTTCAGAAATGTGTCCAGACCATCTATAACTGGGCTATCCTCATTTACAAATGCACCCCAGAGTGTTTGGATATCCACTAAGCAGCTGTCTTTTGGTCGAGGTGCAAATGTGCAACCAGAACTCTCATCCAGGAATAAATGTCGCAATTCCTTCATCATCCAGATTGAACTTGGGAGCGCATTGATGTGAGTGTGCTTTAAATCCAGTGTCTGAAGGTTTAGCAATTTGCTGATGAATGAAGGAAGCATCTCCAGGTCAGTTGACCTTAGGCCAAGGTACCTTAAGCGAGCTAATTGGCCCACTGCCTTGGGCAACTTTGGCTTGTACACCTGTTCAAGGTCTAGCACCCATAGAGAACTGAAACATTTGTTAGAGATGCATCGTTGAAGAAAATTACCTACATCTTCTCCAGGTCTGCTTCCTTCTCGAGCATCAAAGGATAGAAAAGAAACAGTGTCTCTGTAGCAAGTATACAGAGATGAGGAAGTAGTGCTGTCTCCATGAATATGATCAAAGCTGGCATGTCTACAGTCAAGATGGTCGACAAGTCGGTGTATTATACCACTGCTGGTGGACAAATTGTCCCCAATATGGCCATTATCTTGCAGAAAAGCTTCCCTGGCTTTTACGAGCCAGTGAACTCGCAGAGCATCAGGCAAGCGGCATGCTTTGATTTTTCCATTTAGCTTCCTCTTTGTCACTTGGATCATATTCCGGTTTACCAGCTCTATCAAACATTTCTCAGAAACACATTCTGGAGACTCTTTATCATTCTTTTGGTGCCCAAAACCCTCTGCAACCCACAATCCAATCAATCTTCTCAAAGAGATCTCAAAGTGTTCAGGAAATAATCCAAAATAAAAGAGACATCTCCTCAAGTACAATGGCAAATTCTTGTTGATCTCTTGCAAGGTTCCTGACCAAGAACCTTCATCTTTATTGAACTTGTCAATCACCCTTGACCAATCCTCTGGAAATACATTTTCCCTTGCCAGAAGTTCTGCAAGTTTCACTATTGCCTTTGGCAACCCGCCACATACTCTTAGTATTTCCTTCTTTTTCAATTCTAGCAACTCTAAGGGAATATTCACATTCAAAGAACGAACAAACAATGCCCAACTGTCATCATCACTCCATAATTGCAATCTGTAAGTGAAATTTCTCTCACTACTTTCTGGAGTCACTCCTAATTTGGACGAAATGAAAACTACCTTAGTTCCATTTGATAGGCCATCAAATGCAGCCCCAAGTTGATTCCATAATACTTTTGAGGATAACCCATCAATAATAATGAGGTACCTCTTATCCATCAAGAAATCATTCAGCAATCGCCTAAGCCTACATAAATAATCATCCCAATCCCCGTTTACAACTCTAATATTCAAATACTGAGCACCAACTAATTGTTCCATAACGCGGTTGATATTTGAGTCACGCACCCAACTAATCCAAACACGGTGAGGGAAATGATCTCTAATAGCAGGACTTTCATAAATTGACTTAATAAGTTTTGTCTTACCAATTCCTTCCATGCCCAGAATTGAAACAGTAAGACAATTTGGATCATCTCTCAGCAACATCTCCATAATATCATCCATTTTGGCGTCGAAGATAGGAACATCAGGTATCTCAGCCCGGCGAGAAGAAGATGATGATGATGCACCGCCATTGCCGTCAAAAGCACCAACGTCTTGAACTTGTTCGTCAGTAGGCGGTGGAGTTCCATCATCTATTTCATCAAAATCATCAAAATCATCATCATCAAAAGAAGACAATGAAGTAGCATCACCTGGTATATTAGGAACAAATCGACCAGGAAAGTTGGGTTGAAAAGGAATAGGAGGTGGTGGTGGCAAATTTGGAGGAAACCTTGGCGGTGGAATATACATTTGGTGTGGGAGTTTACCAAACCTTTTGATGATTTCTTGAATTTTACTCTTCATTTGATCCATCTCTCGCCGGAGTTTCCTTTGCGATTTGAGTTTGGAAGTATCCAAACCAAGATTTGTGAAAAGAGACGTATTACTTTCTTCTCTTTTAGACAAGAACAACCCAATAACATCCTCTGCAGAGCGAGAAAACAAGGAAACCTCCTCCATCCAAGCCATTTCTTCTCCTCTCAACTCTTTTGACTCCAAGTCCTTAACAAACACATGCAAGAATCTCATTTCATCTCTTACCCATCTAGCTTGTCTTCTAACAGAACGACTAATTTGTTTATGACTGGCCAAGACAATAACTTTCCTTATCACAGGGGACATAATACTCTCACCCACATCAAGTTGCTTCCTTACTGAAGAAGACGAATAAGAAGGATTAGGCCATGGCTCAACTCCTTTCCGGCGACTTAATTTATCAGTAGAGCGGAAGATTTCAAATCGGATACGGTCCAATTTCTTCCTAAGCTTGCGTTGATCGATGGAATCAACGAAAGAGGAAAAAAATTGAACTAGGGTTCCTTTTTGGGTATTTTGAGCTGCTTTTTCTAGTAAGAAATCAATTACCTCTTCAATGTCATAAGCAAGGTCTCTTTTGCAATCGAAATACTCAGAGTTAACAATATCTCTGAGTTTAGTTTCGATGCTTTCGAGCTCATCTTCCAAACCTAGAAATGGAACTGACTCGTTGACCAGCAGATCGGAGAGTTTCCAAAGCACCGGCGAAGAAACCAGTTTCCGATCCATCTGATAGATGAAACGACGACGAATAAAAGAAGAAGAAGAGAAGGTAGCTAAAAGAAGAAATGGAGTGTGTCATGTACGAATAGGTTTCTCTGTATATAGAAGGTTTGGCCAATGGGAAACGACTGAATGTCCATTCCCACTTCCTCTCTCTGGGTTCAGTAGAAAAAGAGAAGAGGGGCATAACTTAGTTGCTAATTTAATGAAAAAAAAAAACATTTTTAATTTTTTTTTATATTTAAAATTCCCATAATAGAAACAAAATTTTTGTAATTATAAATTATTATTTTCTTTCTTGTTCGAGTTTTTATTGGAAAGATATATTTATTTTTCTTTTTCATTTTGATTCTGATTCTGAAACAGGATATAATCAATCGGAATCCAACCGGTGATTTTCTAAATGGTTTTGAAAATATTGATTGCGGTTTGAGATCAAAATTTATTTAAGTTTTTAATTTTTTTTTTTTTTTTAGTTTTGAAGTATGAATGACTAATACAATTGTAAAATACTACCAATGTAACGATAAGTTTTAAAATTTATTTAAAAAATAATAATAAAATAAAAAATAAATAGGAAGTTCTACTGTCTTAAACTGCAATATTGGATTTTAAATTGAAACAATTGATTCATGTTAATTAAAAATCGGAACTAAATTAAGGTACATGATTGCTATCATATTAATTATGATAGGGGTGAACATTCGCTTCGGTCAATTTAGTTAATTCGATTAATTCGGTTAATTCGATTAGGTAAATAAATATTCGGTTAAAAATTCAGTTAAAAGAAAATTAAATTTTCCAGTAATAGGTTAAATATTCGATTAAAAGTTAATTTAATCGAATTAATCAAATTAACCGACTTTTAAAACTACTTAATTTTGATTAAATAGATAATAAAATTAAAAATTAAAAATATTTCAGTTGTTATTTTGAGTAAATAGTGATTAAATTTTTATTTCAATTAAAGCCGATTAATAATAAATTTCAGTTAAATTTAATCAGTTAAGGGATTAGATCCGCTTGTCCCATTCCTTTGCATAACATTTAAAATATTACCAACTTTAATCAAAATGTTTAATATTTTATAATTTTGCTTTGTGCCTCGTTCAAACTTTTGTTACATTTTTTCCAAAGTTAACTTTTTATCACTTCTTGTTTTTCCACAACCCATATTATTATGTCTGTAGACAAATTCTGCCCTTATGTCTCATTTGTTTGAAAAAAAGTAATTTTGTTTATTAAAAATAGTAATTTTACTTTTTTTTTAATAAAAGTAATTTTTTTTTTAACAGAGGAGTAAACTTGACTACTTAAGCTTAAAAATACAAGATCCTAGAGTGAAGTACGTTCACACAAGGGGCATTTCTCTTTTTAAAAAAAAATTATAATGGTTCTTTTTGACAAGGCTCGAACGTCCACCGTACAAGAAAATTTGACGTGACTTCACCAATTTGATGCTACCTCAATAGTGCTTTTTTCTAAAAAATAAAAAATTTTTTATTTAATTAATTTTTTATTAATTTAATATAAAATATATTTTATCTTCAATTTTTTTATCAATTTGTTGTGTATATATATTTTTTGAATCTTATAATTTGTTGTATATTTCTTAGAAAGTCAATTTTCTAATTTTGTTTAATTAGTAAAATTGACAAAAATTACAAATTGAAGCCTAGCTTTTTAATGTTCATTGAATATAGTAAAAGCCAAAAGAGTAAATGAGATGTGGAAAGAAATAAAAAGCCAATGGACCGTTCAATAAAATAGAACGCACGCTCAGAAAGCACCCATAATAAAAGTTGTTTATTATTTTTTAATTATTTTCTGTATATATATTTGATTGAATCTGTATAATTTTGTTGTATATTTCTTAGAAAGTCAAGTTTTCTAATTTTGCTTTAATTAGCTAAATTAGACAAAAATTACAAATTGAAGCCTTAGCTTTTTAATGCTTCAATTGAATTAAGCTTAAAAAGCCAAAGAGTAAATGAGATGTGCGAAAGAAATTAAAAAGCCAATGGACCTCTTCAATAAAAGTAGAACGCACGCTCAGAAAGCACCCATAATAAAAGTTGTTTATTAAATGAGATGTGGAAAGAAATAAAAAGCCAATGGACCGTTCAATAAAATAGAACGCACGCTCAGAAAGCACCCATAATAAAAGTTGTTTATTATTTTTTAATTATTTTCTAAAATTTGAAATATCCATATAATAATTGAATATGTTCCCTAATCCCTATTTATGTGATTAATTAATAATAACATTGTCGATAACTCAATAAAATAAATAAAGATTTCTTCTTTTTACTTTTTCAAATTATTAGATTTTAGGCTTTAAAAAAATTGAATAAATGATTTAAATTGTCAATTAGAATATTTCATTATTGAGTCACTCATGTATTGGAGGATATATCAAACTGTGCACGGCAATAATTTTTTAAGTAATTTTTAGCGTTATCAATCAAAATGCTAAACACTATTTTTTTCATATAGCGTTTGAATTTTAAATGTTTAGATTTTAATATTTTATGAACAACTACTAAAAAAGCTAATAGTTAGGCACCACTAACTAGCAAAACAATTAATTTCGCCAAACAGACACCCAAAAAAGAATTCTACTTATAAAACTCATCTAATTGACTGATAATAAGAAAGAATACTTTATTTTTTGAGATGTTATTAAGAAACTCAATAAAATCATCCCTAAATAGTACAAAATCCAACCATAAAGACCCATACAAAATAGGTTAATGAATTGCTTTTATTATATATGAGATATGAGATGGGCATGTGATGAAAGTCTGGCTTTATTCACTTTGAAGTCTTCTTTTTCTTTTATACTAAATTTTTAAGAAATCACTTGCAATCTTCTGTGTAATTGGTTTATCAGTAAAAAAAGCAGAGCTCTCAAGTTTGAGCTCTGAGTATGGAGTTTTTTTAAACACTTGGGAGGAAAAGCTCTCGAGTTCGGCCCTAGTATCGATCTTTTTTAAATATCTAAGAGGGAGCGCTTTATCTCCTTTTGTAGGCCTATCTAGCGCAAATCCGAATTAGTGAGACCAATAGACTCCAAACAAACACCAAATAGTAAAAAAAAAAAAAGCAAATAAAGGTGCATAGACAAGCTTAAAAAACTATAATTGTAGAGACTCCATCAAAGTCTTTCTAACAATTGGAATCCACTATGTTGTATATTAATAAAGCAATTCTTTTTTTTTTTTGGGAATAAAGTAATTCTTAAAGCGATTTGGAGGTGAATTTAGGGGAATAAAAAATGTGGTATTGCTATTTACAAAATTGGTATTTTAAATGTTTTTGCAAAAAATAATTAAGGATCACTATTAAAATATTTCAAAATTTTTAATTTAAAGAATTAGCTCAATTAATAAATGGATTTACTTTCCATCTTATTAATCTGAGTTCAACTTTTGGAACAAAAAACAAAATGAATATTTTTTTTTATTTAGGATTCTCTTAATCTCGCTATGGATAAATTTGCTCGTCCTTGCCCTTTGTATGTACAAAATGGTGTAGAAAAGGAAAAGAAAGTGAAAATTCAATATTTTCAAAAAATTTTTACACTGAAAATTCTATATCAAAATATTTTTTAATCCCTCGCCTTCGAAGGTAAAAGGGCTAACCCTGGAGAGTTTGTTTTATTGAACTCATGATATAAATTATGGTGATCAACCCTGCAAGTGTTCTTTGCCTGACCTATCCATTCGGGTTAAATACAGAACATGGCTGAAGTTAATAAAAAAAAGACAAAAAAAAGTGTTTCGTTTAGAAGACTTGAATTCCAAACACTTGAATAAGAATCTTCTTGGCATTTGAGCTTAAGTACTATCTATAGTTGAAGTTCTTTCCTGGATTATCAATCTTCTATGCAGTATGGCGAACATGCGCGATTTTATTCAAATCTTCATTTTGTTTATCTTTCAGGCTTGATGACAACACTGGCATTTTTGTGAGTTTTACTCCTCTGAGGGTTTTAATGCATCGCAGTGCATAACACTGCAGTTTCTGTGAGTTTTAACTCCTCTGAGGGTTTTATGCATCGCCCCAGCATGCCCGCATGTGGAAGCATTCTTTTAAATTTTTGCAGGATCTTAATCTCCAAGTTTTTACAAGTTTTTCAGATTAGGCAATGCTCCTTCCTCCATATTCCATTCCTCTAATAGCTCTAGCTCCCAGAGCTTGAGGACTTCAAGTTTAGGAAATCCTCCATACTTGCAAAGCATTTTCTTTCCTGAAAATGATCTGGAAAACAATCTCACAATCTCACAAGTTTAGGACTTCAAGCTTTTTTTTTTTTTTCTTTATTTCCGAGGAGCGGTCAAGTAAGGTGACATGTGTAGAGAGAGTAATTATTAGGAGCTTTTAGTCTCTGAGGAGATATTTGGGCATGGTGATCAAACTTTGGCTTTGTTGACTGGAAATCTTTCCTTTTCTTCTACACTGGAAATTTCTAAGTTATTGGCTTTTTCAGTAATTTTTTTTTCTTTTTTTTTTTTTGAAGAGAAATTTTTTTTTTTCTTTTTACAACACTCTTCTGTAAACTAAAATTAGAGTAACCAAAAAAAAAGAGTAACCAAAAAAAAAAAAAAAAATTGAAATGTTATAATTTATGTTATGTCAAATAATTTGTCATTTTGACCTGGCCCAAATTTCAAATTTCAACTTTTCAATAAAATAATTATTTCATTATTTGGTTTATTTCATTTAAACAATTAAAATGATTATAAATTTTAAAAAAATAACAACATGCTTGAGACACATGCTTGAGACAGTACCAAGCATAAAGAGAAGAATAATTATGGATAAATATTCAATATTACACTGGAAATTACAACAATAACAGAAGAATTACAAGCAACAAAGACATCTCTGATATGCCTTACTTATTATTAGACAAAAACTGACATTAATCATGCATATATTTGCTAGAAACAAACAGAGCAATTGAACTTCTGTTCTGCATTATCAATCTTCTATGCAGAGGAGGCGCGCATGCGCAATTTTATTCAAATCTTCATTTTGTTTATCTTTCAGGCTTGATGATAACACTGGCATTTTTGTTAGTTTTACTTCTTTGAGGGTTTTAATGCATCGCAGTGCATTTGGAATCATCCTTAAATTTTTGCAGGATCTAATCTCCAAGTTTTTCAG